ACCTTTAGTGCATCAAGACAGCTCCTACATCCTCGGCAGCCATTACCTTCAGTGCATCAAGACAGCTCCTACATCCTCGGCAGCCATTACCTTCAGTGCATCAAGACAGCTCCTACATCCTCGGCAGCCATTACCTTCAGTGCATCAAGACAGCTCCTACGCCCTCGGCAGCCATTACCTTCAGAGCATCAAGACAGCTCCTACATCCTCGGCAGCCATTACCTTTCAGTGCATCAAGACAGCTCCTACATCCTCGGCAGCCATTACCTTCAGTGCATCAAGACAGCTCCTACATCCTCGGCAGCCATTACCTTCAGAGCATCAAGACAGCTCCTACGCCCTCGGCAGCCATTACCTTCAGAGCATCAAGACAGCTCCTACATCCTCGGCAGCCATTACCTTCAGTGCATCAAGACAGCTCCTACGCCCTCGGCAGCCATTACCTTCAGAGCATCAAGACAGCTCCTACATCCTCGGCAGCCATTACCTTCAGTGCATCAAGACAGCTCCTACATCCTCGGCAGCCATTACCTTTAGTGCATCAAGACAGCTCCTACATCCTCGGCAGTCATTACCTTCAGAGCATCAAGACAGCTCCTACATCCTCGGCAGCCATTACCTTTAGTGCATCAAGACAGCTCTTTTGAATGTAACTCCTAGATATTTGAGAGTTTTCCCTTTTGGCCATCCCTCTATTTATTGGGATCTTTCTCTTTGCTGTCGACATGTACAATGTTTCAGGACGCTGTAGATTGGAGGGGGGAGGGGGTGTCTCAAACCTGAGAATTCAGGGCTGCCTGGCTTGTGCAGTCGCTGCAGACCGTACAGGACAAGATAATATTTTTTACTCCTGTAAAAAAAAGTTCATCCATTCATCATCATCATAAATCCCTTTTGTCATAAAGTGTCACAGGGAGGAAAGATCCAGTACATCCTACCAGACACTGGCTATTTTCATGCCTTAAAGTGTCTTTATGTTGTCGATCCATTAACTGATTCAAATCCATTTATCTATTCCACTTACTAACTCAAATCCATATATCTGCCTGTCTACCTACCACTCCATACATTCATCAATCAGTCAGTCTATTGGTCTGTCCAACTGTATGTCTGTCTGTCTATTTTTATAGCAAACAAATGAGCTCCAGCTCAAGCTGTTTCACAGGGCTTACCCACGGCTCAAGCCTGAGAGACATAAAGAAAAGTCCCTTTACATACCAGTAGCACATTCCACATTTGAAGCTAGACTGATAATCTCATAGACCAAAAGTAGGGGATATGGTCAATATCATTCTGTCCGCCTTTACTTCCAAGGTCTTCACCAGGTACCCATTTAAGGCTGAGTCGATTTGGGAGCCTAGGCCATGTCTGTAAACAAAAACAAAAATCCAGTACCTTGCAGACGTGAATCCATGACCTTTGGATCCATGGCAAGCATCTAGCCACTAGAGCACGGCTGCTTCCCTGAGAGATACACTCACACATTTGTTATGTCAGCAATCAACATTGTCATGTTCTCATTAACTGTCGGAGTTATGAGAAGAACACCGTGGATAGACAACAAAAGATGTCTTGACAGAAGTTAACTCATGAAGAGAATTGATTGCCTTCATCGGAACAAGACAATCTGCATTCTTTGATCATGTCATGAGAAAAAGAAAACTGGACTACATGATGACGCTGGGAAAGTTAGAGGAAAAATGAAGCATTGGAAGAAGATGCTGGACAGTTTGACATCATGGCATGAGGGATCATCTTTGTCGGAAACAACTGGAAGTGCATGAGAAGAAAGTTGTGGATGATAACTAACTACCGGTGCCATACAGCATGAACAACAGGACATGTGGCTGGGATTTTCTCCACCAATCAGAATGCTGCAGTTTCTGCCTCAACCACTCATTCTTACGATGATGTGCTAATGAAGTACAAGTATGCTGCTGTCTATGTCTATGTTAGGAAAAATTCAACTGAGTCTTTCTGTCTTGCTTCTTTCTTACTTTTCTGTTGTTTCTGTTTCATGTTTTCTTTCCATCTTTTTTTTTTTTACTGAATTGCTTACTTCATTTGAAACTTGCACATCTTTGATAAAGAAGAAGAAAGGACAGAAAAGGATTTTTGTTTTATGATCTAAATTATTAAAACAGGCAGTGAGAATGTAAGTAGACCAAACACAAAAGTTGAGTGTGCTATGTAATCTCAATCCGTGGAATATCATTAACATCAATTATCCCATGACTTGCATTGTTTTTCCTTCTAGGCATTCTCCCATTGTCCATTGCTCGATTATTCTGGCCAATAGAAGCATTCTCTGCTGAATCTAAACTTGTTGATTGGCTCTTGTTTCCATCAATTGATGGTCTGAACCTCCCATTGCTAAGATATCTGTTCACTGACTGGTCTGTTTCATTCCTCATGTCTGATTGGCTACCCATCAAGAAGTCATCTCTGGTAAGGTCAGTCTCGCTGTTATTATCAGAAATGCTGTAGCAGGCACTGTCTTTCTTCACGGCTGACTTGACAATGCTGGAGTTGTAACTGTTATCGTCTTGACTTTGTGCTTGGGCAACCTCTCTGTCTTCTTGTTTATGCATTTTATTGTTATTCCAGACAGAAGTTTCTGTTCTGTTGCCTCTCTCCGATGCTAGGGCTGGAGAAACTGTAGCGTTTCTCCGCTTTGGGGTCGGTCCTTTAGAGGAGGGCCCATGATCTGTGCTGCTGCATTTGCTGTTGGGCTGGTTGGTATCTGTCAGTTGGCAGTGCAAACTACCAGTGTCTTCCGAGTCAGAGTTGCTTGGAGAGTTCTCCACGGTGATGTTGCTGATGGTGATGGATGTCTTCCTGAGTGCGCTGAACATGCTGTCTCCAACGGTCAGTGTGCAGTAGGAGGGAGTGGGTGGGTTTCCTCCGTCTTCGATACGTTGTTGTAACCTGTAAAACAAAATCAACTTAAATACAATTCTAAAATAGACATTGTCAACTGGGAAATTCGTAGTCATCAAATGAAATTAAACCTAGTGCCAAAATTACTGTGGTGAGTCCTGATCAATTCACATATGTAAGCATCATTAGATAATAATTATACTGGTGAGGAAATCACGTTATATTTTCCTTGTCACTTCACTGTTGAGTGTGTGCATGCCCAGGTAACATCATACAATACTAGGAAATGGTAGCTTCCAAACGTTACAGTTTCTGCATGTTAAACATGTAGCAAGCGTTCTTTTTGTTATGTTTGAGAATTAAACAGAGTGGTGTATTTGTAATAAATAGTCAACAGTAATAATAAATAGTAAACTAATGTGTTTTTCTTCTGTAATGGAAAGTGTAAGTCACGGTTACAGTGTTACATGCCCACCTCGCCACCGGTACCACTATAAAGATTGAGAGTCTCGCTGGCTCAGCAGCTAAAGTTGCACCTGCCAGTCTCAAGATCTAGAACTCAGATCTGCATCGAGATGGATTTTTTCATTTTAAAACTGACCTTGGCTTCCAGGTCCACCCAACCTAAAATTGGTTGTCCTGGGATGTAAAGGCGGCTGGAGTGATGTTAACTACATTACCCATCGAGTGCTGATTGGTCTATGAACATATAAGTCCCACACCATTTGCTCAGGCTGCAAAAGGATGCTTTAATTTGTAAAAATGTTTTTTGGTATCTGGCCAACTTTCCTGGCTTGTGAACTTCCATACCTAGGGTGTTTTTGATATCTCGTGACCACCGTCGTTGTGGTCGACACCTGCCTCTTCTGTTCACAATCATACCCTCCATTATTGTTCTTTCGAAGTCATTATGGCAGTTAATATAGCCGAAATGTTTGACCGAATTATACTGTATGTCAGCCAGTTGCCACATCTTCCCCATACTCTCACTCTCTCTTTCTCTCTTTTGTGTGTGTGTGTGTGTGTGTGTGTCTCTGTTTTGATCCTTAAGTGTGCCAGCACTTTTCCTTGTTTTTGTCCATGGTATTTCTGAGAATCTTTCTGTAATATTTAAATTAAAAAACCCCACTGTTTTCTGTTTTGGTGATACACAACAACAGGCGAGCACAAATATGAAAAATACACAGAAAATATCAAGTCCATGTTTGATTTAGAAACTGTGTACACTAGTAAAAGTCAGTAAGGACCCTTTTACAAGCCTTCAGGTATATGGGAACTACTAGACCAATCAGTACTTGGTGGGTGATGTGGTCAACATCAGGCCGACCGCGTTTACTTCCCATGACTCTTTATCTCGTACCTATTTAAGGCTGGGTCAACCTAGGAGCCAAGATCGATTGAAAAAGTACGGATTTGAACCCACGACCTTGAGATTTGTGGGTGAGATGTTACCAAAGTGGCTCAATGAGTACACTAGACAGAGTGAATGAAGAACTGACATTATTTCATTCGGAGCGTTCCCACACAACCTTTGTCCCCTTCAACAAAAACGTCTCTGGTTGTTGGTAGCAGCTGCAGTCTGGTTAAAATCCCACACATCTTTTTTTTTCTGTGAGTTGAAAACCATGAAGTTCATCTGGCCACTCCCCATGAATCAGTAGATAAGATGAGAAAGGGACACTTACCGAACAAGGCATTCTGGTAAAGGCTTCAGGTAGTTTTTCTTGCCCGCCAACCAGTAGACAACACAAGATGAGAAAGGGACACTTACCGAACAAGGCATTCTGGTAAAGGCTTCATGTAGTTTTTCTTGCCCGCCAACCAGTAGACAACACAAGATGAGAAAGGGACACTTACCAAACAAGGCATTCTGGTAAAGGCTTTAGGTGGTTTTTCTTGCCCGCCAACCAGCAGACAACACAAGATGAGAAAGGGACACTTACCGAACAAGGCATTCTGGTAAAGGCTTCAGGTAGTTTTTCTTGCCCGCCAACCAGCAGACAACACAAGATGAGAAAGGGACACTCACCGAACAAGGCATTCTGGTAAAGGCTTCAGGTAGTTTTTCTTGCCGGCCAACCAGCAGACAACACAAGATGAGAAAGGGACACTCACCGAACAAGGCATTCTGGTAAAGGCTTCAGGTAGTTTTTCTTGCCCGCCAACCAGTAGGTCTTCAACAGGCCTTTTCCCTGCATGGGCAACAGTAAAATGAATAATTAATGGATTTAGAGAAAACACGACTGCTCACTGAAATCAGCGTTATCGTTCCAACCCATCTTCTAACACCCCCCCCCCCCCCCCTTCCCAACGTATAAGTCCTAGTTTTAAGCATTAGACATGGGTTGTATGGGCCTAATGAAACGGAACAATTTCTAACTTTAATGGAGTCTCTAAGTTAACTACAAATCGAGATGCAGTTTTTCAAAGTTTGCATACGTAATGAGCATGAAAACCTAGATAAATAAGCTACAAATGCTTCAAAGAATGCAGAAATAGATCTTTTAAACGCATTCCTGTTTAAACCCTGTTTGTACAGCTATTTTCTACCAAGAAAAATTGTGAATTGTGTTCGGAAACCAAAAGTGGTCAAAATTTCGTTTTTCATCTTTGTCCCTTCACTCAAGCCTTATTTAAGAAGGTAATTACCAGTTGCTAAATGGCAAGTAAATATACAAAACATTTGAAATAAAATCTTCTCTTTTGTTGCCTACACTTGGAATGTCTCGCGGCGTCAGGATAGGAAGAGATCTAAGTAGAAGGAATCTTTCTGTTCGCTTCATTTAAAGTACTTTTCAGTTTCTTTGATATTTCTACGGTCCATTTTCTGCTTGGTCGACCTCCGTCTCTGTTACTGTTGGCCAAATCATTTGCTTTGTTGTCCTATAAAGCTTAGTATTATTTCTGTGCCGACTCTCCTCCTGATATCATCGTTCCTAAGTGATCTTTCATAGTTACACCTAGCATAGTACGTAAACATTACATTTTTGTCGTGACTTTTTCCCTTGTCTTCTGAAGACAGTGTCCATGTTTGATACTGAAAGCACTGCGTTTGCAAAAATAAATGAAAGGAAATGTATAAATTAAGCCACTAGAAAATGTCAATGCTACTGAGAAAAAGAGAGAGAGATAGGGAGAGAGAGATAGATAGATAGATAGATAGATAGAGAGAGAGAGAGAGAGAGAGAGAGAGAGAGGGGGGGGGGGGGGGGGGGGGGGGTTGGCGGAAGGAGCGAGAAGAGATGACAGAAAACCCACACATATTAGCAGTTTGGAGACGTAGTGGCTAGTCGGCCGGCTGAAATATTTCGAGTTCACATCTGCACGGAAACGGAGTGCGTCAGCGAGGCATGCATCACACTGATCACGTCACCCAACGAGTCCTTATAAAAGCATGGGTTTAGCACCACATGTTAACTCACATGTTGACACATTCAAAGGAGTATCGGGGAATGACTTTGGAAGTAAAAGCACCTGGCGTGATATTGGACATATCACCCACCAGTGCCGACTGGTTTATCATAAATGAGTAGCATCTTATTAAGTTTATAATGGTTTCTGTACGTTTATGACAGATTATGTACGTTTATGACAGTTTCTGTACGTTTATGACAGTTTCTGTACGTTTATGACAGTCTATGTAAGTTTATGACAGTTTCTGTTAGTTTATAACAGTTTCTGTACGTTTGTGACAGTCTATGTACGTTTATGACAGTTTATGTACGCTTATGACAGTTTCTGTATGCTTATGACAGTTTCTGTACGTTTATGACAGTTTATGTACATTTATGACAGTTTCTGTACATTTATGACAGTTTCTGTACTTGTATGACAGTTTCTGGATGCTTATGACAGTTTCTAAAATGTTCACTTCTTTGAGTCTGAAGTATCGTCTGAATTCGGTTCTTCCCCTGTCTTCCTTTATTGTTACCTTCTCCGTCTCTCCTCTATCCCTTTCACTAGAGCACAACCCACCCCTCCCTTTTTTAATGCTCCAGAAACAAATGTGCCGGTCATAACCACAAAGCGTCTAAAAACAGGCGCCGGTACTCAGTACAAAGTGTTTATTACAGTAATGCTGAAAACAAAATCACACCTAACAATATGCCAGAAAGAAAAAAAATCACAACCCACTCGCGCCAAGTCGTTCTACCTTTTGCTATAGCATACAACTCATGCTATGTCCTGCCCATCTTTTCAACTAAACTCTAGTTCCATTCCCCTTGAGTTTTTTTTTTCTCTGCCTTTACCTCTGTGATCATGTGGTTTCCAGCGCAAACAGATTCTAGTTATATTGTTATAACGTTCTTTCTCTGAACTTGCAGGCTGCTCAAAGGGTAAGCAAGATAATAAAAACCGAAATGAAATGGCACATATTGGAGCTAACCTTGACTTCGATGTAGCCTCTCTCGACCATGAGAAAACCCCAGTCCAGTTCATCTAAGGCCTCCTTCATCTGTTTGCTCATGTGGATGTGCAGTGCTAGAGACAAGAGCAGACAAAGGTAAGCATGTGTTTTTTTTTTTAGCCAGTGGAGTCTGCTCATGCTAAAACAAACAGTATTCATTCAGTGCAGCTGAAGCATGGGTATCTGTTGAAAACTGTCGCGTAGTGAGCTTTGTCATCGATGTTCTCTTCTTATTTGTCATCTTTCTATTTTGCCCCAGTTTCTACATCTTCCTCATCACCTTCCTTCACTGTTCCTCCTCCTCCACCATCTTTTTCTTCCTTCTCCTTGTCATCTGTTTCTAAGAAAAAGACAACGACATCAACTAATACACCTACAGAAACATCAACTAATACCCCTATAATAAAACATCAACTAATACAGCCTATAATAACATCAACTAATACAGCTATAGAAAAATCAACTAATACATCCATAGAAACATCAACTAATACACCCATAGAAACATCAACTAATACACCTATAGAAACATCAACTAATACACCCATAGAAACATCAACTAATACACCTATAGAAACATAAACTAATACACCTATAGAAACATCAACTAATACACCCATAGAAACATCAACTAATACACCTATAGAAACATTAACTAATACACCCATAGAAACATTAACTAATACACCCATAGAAACATTAACTAATACACCCATAGAAACATTAACTAATACACCTATAGAAACATCAACTAATACACCTATAGAAACATCAACTAATACACCTATAGAAACATTAACTAATACACCTATAGAAACATTAACTAATACACCTAAAACATAACTAATACACCCATAGAAACATTAACTAATACACCCTAATACACCCATAGAAACATTAACTAATACACCTATAGAAACATTAACTAATACACCTATACATCTAATACACCTATAGAAACATCAACTAATACACCTATAGAAACATAACTAATACACCTATAGAAATAGAAACACAACTAATAATACACCTATAGAAACATTAACTAATACACCCATAGAAACATTAACTAATACACCCATAGAAACATAAACTAATACACCCATAGAAACATAAACTAATACACCTATAGAAACATCAACTAATACACCTATAGAAACATTAACTAATACACCTATAGAAACATTAACTAATACACCTATAGAAACATTAACTAATACACCTATAGAAACATAAACTAATACACCCATAGAAACATAAACTAATACACCTATAGAAACATTAAACACTAGAAACATACACACCTATAGAAACATCAACTAATACACCCATAGAAACATAAACTAATACATAAACTAATACACCTATAGAAACATAATAACTAAGAAACATACTAATACACCCATAGAAACATTAAACTAATACACCTATAGAAACATAATACACCTATAGAAACTATAGAAACATAGAAACATAAACTAATACACCTATAGAAACATCAACTAATACACCTATAGAAACATAAACTAATACACCTATAGAAACATTAACTAATACACCTATAGAAACATTAACTAATACACCTATAGAAACATTAACTAATACACCTATAGAAACATTAACTAATACACCTATAGAAACATTAACTAATACACCTATAGAAACATTAACTAATACACCTATAGAAACATTAACTAATACACCCATAGAAACATCAACTAATACACCTATAGAAACATTAACTAATACACCTATAGAAACATCAACTAATACACCTATAGAAACATCAACTAATACACCTATAGAAACATCAACTAATACACCTATAGAAACATCAACTAATACACCTATAGAAACATCAACTAATACACCTATAGAAACATCAACTAATACACCTATAGAGCAATGCAATGATAGATCTTAACAAATTATTTTATACAATCCGAACATGTAAGGGACTACCCACCCACCCCCCCCCCCCTTTTTTCTCATACTCTGAGCCATGGCGAGGTAACTCATTGAAGGATCCCCAAAAGACTGAGTTCTTTCTCTTGAATCTTTTGCGTGGATATTCAGGACACCTGAGCCCTGAAAAGAACTAGCATGTACCGAGCTGCGACCTATGGATATTCTATTCTATGGCACTGTCTGATAGATCCGAGACAGCTTTCACCGCTCGTAACAGATATTAAATTACCTATTCCAGTAGACTCCATTCTGCTGGCTGTGTTCACAGTATCGCCAAAGAGGCAGTACCTTGGCATCGTTCGACCCACCACACCAGCAGCACAAGGCCCGGTGTGTAGTCCCACCCGCAGCTTCAGAATCTCATCCGGTATATGGCTGATCTTAAAGTGGGTCACTGTGGAGATGAGGTCCAGCGCCATGTTGGCTATCTCCCCAGAGTGGCGACTTCCGTTCTTCCGGGGACAACCGCTCACGCACATGTAGGCATCTCCGATTGTCTCCACCTAAGGGAAGTAATCAAACATATGTTAAAACAGTGATTTAAAATGCGGGGAGCCGCGGCCTCTTCACAGGGGGCGCCGCGAAATATTCGAAGATACACGATTAAAAAAAAAAAAATCTTTTACATACAAATAGTCATACTTTTACTTAGGTAAGGGCGCTGTGGAAATTTTTTACTAAAAAAAAAAAAAAGGCACCACAACTAAGAAATGTTTGGGAAAAACTGTGTTAGAAGATGGAAGAGTAAACCTTCTGTGGAAGCAAGATACAACCGGTGAAATCAAGCTAACGGTTGTTGGCATATTTCCCTTACTATTCTTAAATAAATTAACTGAACTATGACTGGAATATGTTTCGACCGAAGTCTATATCAACACAAGAAGAATAAGAAGATTTAAAATACCTGCCTTTGGGGGAGTCACGTGACTTTGGTCAATTAATTTGTTTAAATACCGCCTCTGCCTGAGAGGCAAGAAACCAGCAGTCTTCATTTAAAAGGAGTCAGATCTGTAAAACGGATGCACACGAAACACTCAGGTTCTGGAACAGGACTGCAGTCCAGAAGTGGACAATCTGAACTTTTCGCCGGAGTTTACAGCTGGTGAACGCGACGAAAAAGAAATAGAATACCGTCCCCTCTGAAGTCACACTTTATTATTAGCGCAACGAGCCATTAAGTCATCTATCAGTCAGCCAGGAGCTGAGCCAACCAACTAAGTACAAACTGGCCAACACACTAAAGAGCAGCAGTGATGTTAGTGCAACGATGGCATCAAGAACAACCTTAAAGAAATGAAGTTCAACAAACACAACAGATTAGAAAGAACTCAGAGATGGTCCGTACATCACACACGCCCCAAACCATTAATTGGGGTAACTGAAGGATTACAAGAGAAAGAAGAAAATTGTCTGTACTTGTCTTACCTTATAGACGTCCCTTCTAGCGATAACCTCATCAAAACATGTGTAGAGATCATTCAACAGGTTGACCACCTGAAATAACAAACAGACATTCACTAGTTCCGTGTAGTTACTGCAAAGCTCTGTTTAACCCAGTATATATGTCATAGCTGGAAAATGTATTTAAGCAGAAAAGAAATTAATCCCCATTTAACGAGAGAACAAAGTGTGGGGGGGGGGGGGGGGGGGGGGGGCAACAACCCACAGAAACAAATTGGACGTTTCTTCAGGAGTCTTTATCAACGAAAAGCACACAACAGCAACAAGGGGGAGTAGCTCCTGGATCTAAGTCAGTCCCTATATAAAAGGGAGCTGGCAGGGAGGTTTTTTAAAAAAAAATTATTAACCAGAGAAGACTGAGTGGAACTACATCATCATCATCATCATCATCATCAGGTGCCTTGCCGACTGGCGTTGGCGATCATGCCTCTCCCTAATCTGCGATCTCCTGCAGCATGTATTAGTTCGTGTGCCGACACACCTCCATGCCATGCAACAAGACTGTCAAGCATCTTCTCTCGTTATCTTCCTCTATCTTTCCTTCCACATATCTTTCCAGTGGAACTACAACAGATGTTTAATCACCATCACCTAGTTATATTTGGAGCGCCTCGCATGTCTTTATTTTGCTTTTTGTATCATCTACCTTTCGACATATTTGTTAAACTTATAGTAATGATTGAAACATTTCGTTGAATTCCATTTTTTCCCCACAAAGCCAAGCTATTTCTCTCACAGTTTTTGGGTCTCTCACGGCCTCCATTGGCGTGGATCACTCACAGTCTGAGACATATGTGTGGATCATGTCTGAGGGGCTGGGTCGGTAAACAAATAATACATTTAGAATCTTTTAAATAGATTGTGAAACCTACATTTGACTACGACCTGTATCGCTGCGTGGATTCCGGGGCCCCATTTTAGGGCGGTATTTACCTTACTATGAACACCGTCTCAACATCGGACGCAGTTTGTCGATATTTTAAAACCCCACTCCGGCTATTGGGAGCCGCCGTGGTCCAGCGGCTAGACGCTCGCCTGCGGATCGGAAGGTCGTGGGTTTAGTTTCTGACGGAGCTGGACTTTTTTTTTTCAAAAATGACCTAGGCTCCCAGGTCGACCTAGTCTTGAGTGGGTACCAGGTACAATCTTAAGAAGTAAAGGCGGCTGGCGTGGTGCTGAACAAATCACATCTAAGTGCCGTTTGGTCTATAAAATAAATATAGGTCTAGTCCAATATACACAATAGGCATGAAAGGCGTGGAAAAGGGTCCTTGTCTGTTACTTTACTCTAGCTGTTGCCAGAGGCCCTAATATAATCCAACCTCCGGGTTGAACGGGGTTTCTGGCACCTGTCCCCGGGCGATCCTCATCTGAATGGTTGCACTTTGTGTCACCGAGTGTTTATCGCCTGGTGTGATGTCCTGGTGGCGTTGAACATCATTATAGGGGAAACAAAAATATACCAGCTACCTCATAAAAAGCGTGTCGTAGATGGCGACTAATTATGGATGTTTTCTTCGAATTCGGAGTGCATCTGCTTGAGACGCGAGGAACTGACAGTCTGTTTACAAATAAGCGAGATCTGTAAAACGGATGCACATACAAAAGTCAATTGTGGAACAAGACCAAAGTTCAGAATTGAAAACAACCAGGACTTTCCGCGGGAGTTTACAGCCAGTGAAAACAGACAAGGAGAAGAAAAACTAATAGAGAGAGTCCAAGTCGGTGAATTAGACCGGAAATGAATCTGGAAGATAACGATGAGTTTTCGTGATCTGGGACATAGATTAGTCGTGCAGGCGCTTTTCTTTATGTTCTTGTGACTGTTCTTCGGAGTAAATTGGCAGCAGAGACTGAAGACTTTACAGATAGGAAGATGGACGGGCAGAATTTAAGATAGAACGGACGAACAAACTTTATTTTCAAAGGGTTACAAAGTGGGCACGTAGGCCCGTCTGACATTCGGCCCTTCTAAGCATTCATCTTTCAGAGTATCAATTATGAATATAATAAAGAAATATACATTATATAATAATGCATAAACACACCATGAATACACAATCTTACACACTTAAACACACACACGTACACACACTCTTACCTTCTCATACATACACACTCATTTACAGACATACGTAATACATACACGCACCTACATACATACACATACGTAAAACATACACATACACACATACCTAGACATACATGCACATACACATTCCATACATACCTAGACATACATGCACATACACATTCCATACATACACACTTACACATGCATCCATGCACACACACACATACAATCACATATACAGACATCCATAGATAGAAAGACAAGTAGTCCGACAGTTAGGCATATATCAGACATGTTAGCAGACATACAGACATGCTGACAGACAGTAGGACGGACAGGAAGACAGAGAGAGAGAGAGAGAGAGAGAGAGAGAGAGAGAGAGAGAGAGAGAGAGAGAGAGAGAGAGAGAGAGAGAGAGAGAGAAGAGAGAGAGAGAGAGAGAGAGACAGAGAGAGAGGATAAGAGAGAGAGAGAGAGAGAGAAAGAGAGAGAGAACGAGAGAGAGAGAGAGAGAGAGAGAAGAAAGAGAGAGAGCATGCGAGATGAGAAGAGAGGAGAGAGAGAGAGAGAGAGAGAGAGAGAGAGCAAGACATGCTTTCGGATATAAGGAACCACGTACAAAACAGACAAATAGATCGACATATTGCTCTTTGAGTAATTCGCTATAAAAGTTCTTATGTTAAAAAAAAAAAACAACAACACAGAAAGCATGCTGATGAGAAGACAAAGCAGCTGGAGCATGAGGGAACAAGTGACTTACCTCCAGAGCGCTGCTTTCACTGGCAATTGTTGTAAAACCCACGATGTCAGAAAAGAAAATGGACACATGGTCAAACGACTCCGGAGTCACCGACAGGCCACTTTTGAGCTGCTCAGCCACTGACCTGTCCCAGAGACAATATCTTTAAAAGGGCGCAGATTTACGGTTTCATATTATTGAGTATCATCAAACAGGAGGTCGCTTACAGAACGTCGCTCTCGCCCCGGCACGCCCGGAAGTCTTCCTTTAGCACATTCTCTAGCCCTATGTGCTTTCATAGCTAATGCGCCTTGAATTTCTTGTATCCACCTTCGCGGAGGTCGGCCTGCGCTTTTTTTTCCCAGAAACTAACCTCAGTTAACGTTTTTTTTTTTTTAAAGGCCGCCAAAACGTTTAAAATGGCGAAAATATTCCAGCTTTCGGATGCTGTTTATGAGCCAGTTCTTCTCGATGCTTAGATCATGTCGGGTGTCGCTGCTTTTCCTCCGTCGTTATTGGGCAACACTGTTTAATTAGCACTCTAATGGGTAATATGATCAGTGTCTGCCTATACTTCTCATAACATTTTCTGATATCTGTTTTAGGTGGGGTCTACTTAGGAAATATTCTACCGACCCACTATATACTTACTAACCCATGCATGTACCTATCTACCCAGCTACTAACTGACCTTCCAGACCGTCAACACGCAGTCCAATCTGTCAGTCAGTCCGCCTGTTTGTCTGTCTGTTGTCTATACATCTGTCCACCCGTCTCTCTGTCTGTCTTGTCAGTATGCCTTTTTGTATATTACTCTTTTCAGTACAGATATTGTCAGACAGATTGAAAACAATAGCATGCAGCAAAGTCAGATAGTTTGGTCATTTAGCAAGAATGCAGCCAGAACAAAAACAGGTCTGAAGTGAAAGCAAGAGGTCACCCTAGGAGAATATGGATTGATGGCATTAAGGAGCTTCTACATCAATACGAAATGCTATTGTTATCCATCAAGCAATGGATCGCAAACCGTTCCTCCCCACAACGCTTAATGGCAGAAGTGGAAATTGATGATGATGATGATGACTCTTTCCCTGTGTTGGCTCCAAGGTCCCTTATAGGAGGAACAGAATCGGACCCCTAACCCCCTTAAACAGCGATATCGTAACAGGTGACCAATGCAGGACTGGTTGACATCGGGTTGGCTGGACCTCTACATCTTCTTCACGTTCACCGGCTGTAAACTCCGGCTGACAGTTCTGGTTGTTCGCCCACTTCGAGACTTTAGTGTTGTTCCACATGAGTTCTGCTTGCACAGCCGTTTTACAGATTTGGTTTACGTGTGAGCAAACTGTTGGTTTCCCACCTCTTGAGCATATGCACTCCGACTTTGAAGCATACACCCGTAATTAGTCGTACTTTACGACATAGTTGGTGAGAGGTGGGAAGGGGGGGGGGTCGATTCTTTTTTGTCCCCAAAATGGGGCAGCGTTTGACCAAAATGTGCAGATGTCGCAGCCTAGCTATAAACCCCAACACAACGTGCCAACCAACCTTTAAGAAGGAGAAGTCTATCACTATCTGGACCTTACTCACGGGGGCAACATCTGAAAGAGCAAGGTGTCCGTCTTCTTCTTCTCGGCCTCGAGCTCCTCTGTTCGCTCGTTGACCAGCTGCTCCAGGTTGCTGCTGTACGACTCCAGCATCTGCAGCATGTTGTCCATGATGTTCAGCCGCCTACAACGGTCAGTGTGGGAGTCGGTCGTTAGTGTCGGGTTGTGTGGCTTCAGTTATAGCCAGAGGAGGAGAGAGGGAGAGAGGGGAGAGAGAGGGGGAGAGAGAGAGAGAGAGAGAAGGCAAGGGGTCAACAAACACACAGACTGACTCAAAGGAATATATAGACAGAAAAATAGGCAGACGAACAGTGGGGGAGAGAGAGAGAGAGAGAGAGAGAGAGAGAGAGAGAGAGAGAGAGAGAGAAAGAAAGCAAGGGGTCAACAGACACACAGACTGACTGAAAGGAATATATAGATAGAAAAATAGGCAAACGAACAAATAGACACAAAGAGCTGACGATATAGACGGACAAAAACAGACACAGATTAAAGTGTACATTAAAAAATTAAAAGACAGGCTGAAAGGAATATATAAAGAGAATGATATAAAGACAGGCAAAGAAAGATAGACAAGTGCGGACAAAAATATATAGTTGGCAAACAGCGAGAGACATAAACATATAACTTTTAGGTATATAAATTATCATCAAGTGCCTCGCCGACTGGCCTTGGCGACCATGCCACTCCACAATCTGCGATCCGCAACTGCATGTATCAGTTTGTGTATTGACACCCCTCCAGGTTGTCAAGAACCACTTTGCGCTGTCTTCATCTGTCTCTCTTTCCACACATTTTATCCTGTGGTTACAACGTGTTCCATTCTCTCTTTTCTGATAACATGGACCAAAAAAACGATGACCGTCTCTTTCTGATTTTTATTTTTATATTTTATCTTCGCGCACCTGCCTCTTTCAAAACATCTGTTACTCCTCTCAGCTGTCCAAGAAATTTTAAGGATTCTTCTGTAAAACCACATCTCGTAGGCCTCAAGATATTGTTCGGCTTGTTTAATAATTGTTTAGGGTTCACGGCCATATGTTAAAACTGGCCCTGTACAGCTTGCGAGAATTCTTTTCATAACTTCATTGAATATAAATATATATCGATGGTAAGAGGGTAAGTTAGTAAGTAAGTCACAATTGATTGTTAAAAAAACCTAAAGAGGATAACAACTTGGAAAACCGATTATTTTTACACATACACTGCCCCTTTAGTTTTCAACACCGTTTCCACCGACACTGATGCACTTGTCCCATCGTTTTATCTGTCCTCCCAAACCTGCTGCACAGAGCTGCGTGCTCTGTTTTCTAAACCACATTTTCACTTTACATTCAACTTCTGCGACATTCGTGAAATGTCTCCCGCTAAGGTGGGATTTCAGTGGACCCAAAAAAAAAAAAAAAAAAAACAACACCTGAGCACCCTATTGCAGCTGCTACAGAGTCAACCGTTACTAGCCTGTCACCTCTAATCATCTGCTCCATCCCATGCACGAATGCGTCTGTTGCAATCTCAAAAGGACGACCAGATCCGACTTCATCGACAATCGTAGAGCGTCCTTTGAGAAAAATATTTTACCAAGCCATGCACCGCTTTACGGGATAAACATATGTCAGCATAAACAGGGAGCATTTCATTATGAATGTACTTTGCAGTCAGCCCTTTTGGTAAAACTTTGTTCTTTGAGGCTTCACTCCGTAAGTACAGTCGCCATTTTGTTTCTGCGTTGCAAATGCGCATGCAACACCTGGTGTCACATAACGAATGGAGACAAAGGGCGAAAGCTCATGTGCCACTGGATCGATAACAACAACAACGAATGGAGACGTAAAGTTCGATGTTTGCTGTCACCTAATAAAACCTTTAGAAACCACTAACTACATGTTCCTGCCATCCCATAACCATTTGTGACTCACTTATTGACTTGCATTAGTATATAGATAGAAGTCCCAATTCTCCTTACCCAAAGGCGATTTTTTTTTCTGTGGGAATCACCTTTACTTTTAGATAAACTGACAGACATGACTTTTGTCTGTCTGTCTGAACCAGACGGAGAAAATGTACATTCCTTGGTCATGTCGTAAGAAGGAGAAGAGTGTAGCACATCATAACGGTGGACATATTGGAGGATATGAGAGGCGGAGGGAGACTAAAAGAGAAAATGCTGGACAGTTTAGCATCAAGGCATGAAAGATCATCTGTGTCAGAATTTACTGAAAGTACACGAGACAGTAGGTTGAGGATAGACATGACTACCAACGCCCCACAGCGTGGATTATAAGAAAAAGAAACAAACAGAGAGACGAACAGCTTGATAGAAAATCAGACATATAAAGAGACAGACCACATAGAAAGTAAAAAAAAAAAAAAAAAAACGATGGAAAGAAAGAAAGTGCAAACAGATGCCAACGTTTTTATGGTATTTCCGGAGTTGCTCTTGGAATGACAGTTGTAAGACAAGAGCTCTCAGTTTAATGTTCAGGTTATGTTTGCGTCAGTTAACGGGTGGAATTTTATCCAGATTTATGGGGATTGTCTATAGAAATACAGTGTTTGTGCTTTTTGCGATGTCCTTGGTAGGCGACTAGCCCTTCCGTGGTGAGAGAGACCAGGCACAAGAGATAAGGGTTGTGGCGTATCCTTTACATGACGTTGCAGAACCAACCCCAACAGCCCCTGACTGTTGTGTGGTTTTTATAGGCAAATTTACTTCCAGTAGTTTGCCACTGCCTGCTGGACGGTCGGCTTTCTTGATACCACTGTCGAAACCAACGCAAGGCGTATGACCCGCTGCTGAGATCGAACCCGGCATCCCGGCATTACGAAGCGTTCGCATTGACTTAGCCACAGAGCCGACACAAGAGATAAAACCTAGTGAAATTAACTGGATCTTTTCGACTTTAAAGCTTCACACTTGAACATACACACGTACGCGACGAAACACTCTTAGTGGCATCTTTCCGTATTTCCAGACTATAGTTTTATACTGCCCTGTGGCAAGGGAGGGGAGTCACAGCCCGTGGCGATGGCGAGTGTGACTAGCAAAACCCGCTCACTACAAAAAACGTCGTCCACACTTAGAGCACGGGATATGAGATCTTTTGCTGTTCTCATATGTATTTAATGCCATTCTTCCCAGACACACAGTTGTCATCCTTTCTGTAATTCTTTTCCCCTTCATTCATATTCCATTTATGATTTTCGCCTTTATTTCTATTTTATGTATGATTTTTCTCTTCATTTTCTCTTCATTCCTATTTCATTTAGGATTTTCCCCTTCGTTCATATTCCATGTATGATTTCCCTATTCCTTTTCCATTTAGGATTTTCCCTTTCCAGTCATCACATTTCATGGCATCTGGTTCACATTAATCTACCTCAATATCTATATCATTCATGTCCTGCTTGCACTCATTTTATATCATAGTAGAGGCCGGCCTCGACATCTTCTACCCATCAAACACACACACACACACACACATATATATATATATATATATGGGAAGGCATGGGAGATATGGAAGGTATCTTATGATCCTGTTGTGACCACACACGCGCGCGCGCGCACACACACACACATACACACATAAAAAGCACTTACTTAGGTCCATTCATCTCGCGGAGTCTCTTGCGGATGTTGTGGAAGTCCGGTCTGGCTTCAGGCAGCTCTGACCAGCAGGAGACCATCAGGGACAGAGCTTTGGGCGGGGAGTCAGTCTCGTTGGGGATGACAGGGCGGTAGGGGCGGGTGTGTCCTTCACTCCTCACTAGGGTGATGATATCTGTGGGGCGGCGGTTGGTAAGTTAGCAAATGGATTCACTGCACTTGCTACATGGTACTGTAATTACTAGTACTGTTGCTGCTGCCATAACCACAACCACTACTATTACTACTACTGCTGCTGCTGCTTCTACTACCACCACCACAACAACTACCATTGCCACCACCACTACTACTACTACCACTACTACCACTACTACCACTTCTACTACTACTACTATATTACTACTGCTGCTGCTGCTACTACTACTACTACTACTACTACTACTACTACTACTACTACTACTACTACTACTACTACTACTACTACTACTACTACTACTATACTACTACGACAATCAATACTACTGCTACTACTATGACGTTTATTACTCTGTAACGACTACTGCTGCTACAACAACAACAACAATCAGTACTACTACTACTACAACCAATACTATTGCTACTTTATTACGACTACGACCACTACCACAACTACCTCTTCCACTACTACAATAAATTCTACTAGTGTTACTATTACTACTGCTGCTGCTGCTTCTACTACTACTACTACCACCACTAAAATCAATACTGCTACTTCAGTTACTACTACTGCAAACAATACAATCACTGTTACTACTGCTGCTGTGGATACTACTATTACTACTACAATCAGTACTGCTGCTAGTACTACAATCAGTACTACTGCTACTACTACAATCAGTACTACTGCTACTACTCTGTTACAATTACTGCTACTACAATCACTACTACTACTACTACTACTACTACTATTACTACTACTACTACTACTACTACTACTACTACTACTACTACTACTACTACTACTACTACTACTACTACTACTGCTACTACTACTACTACTACTACTACTACTAATATTACTACTACTACTATACTGCTACTACTACTACTACTACTACTACTACTACTACTACTACTGCTACTACTACTACTACTACTACTACTACTACTACTACTACTACTAAAATATGTACTCACTTTCAGGATCTACGTTATTATAGAAGTAAGGGTAGCAACGTAAGAAGATCTCCTGAAGGATGATGGCAAAACTGTACACGTCCCCCTTCTGGGTCCCCTTGTGGGGTCGCTTGGGCATTCTCAGAATTTCGGGTGCTGTCCAGAGAAGGCCTGTAAGGAACATTTGTAAGTAATTCAATCGATATACCCAGGTGTAATCATCATTAGCGCAGTGGCCACGTGTATGTCTGTGTGGCAGCACCAAGATGTTGTGGCTAACTTTATTCATTCAACAAAATGTCATGACCCGATGACCAGACGTCCCGGTTTCAGCTGGACAATCCTGTTATTTAGGTGTTCCCCGTCCTGTCGGTATCCCCACCCCATCCCAATCCAAAAATGGCAAAAAATTCAGTTTTATACAAATGTGGGAATAAACTCGGGTACAGAACACATAGTTATGTCTGTAGAGCTTATTATATTTTATACTCTTAGAAACTTTTAATGCCTAAAATGTGTAATCACTGGCATGAGAAGTAAGGCAGACAATCAATACATCGCACATTACTTTTAAGTAAAGGTCACCTTCCGCGCCAGTGGCGCATCGGGCATAGTAGGCTAGACTAGTAATTGTATAGACCTCGATGGATGGTGTGATCAACATCACGCCGGCTGCCTTTACTATCCAGAACTTTACCTGCTACTCGTTTAAGGCTGTGCCAAACTGGGAGCCAAGGTCATGGATAAAGAAACAAAATCCAGCACGCTGGGGATTTGAACCCACGACTTGGGACCTGCAGGCGAGCTTCTAGCCACTACACCACGTCGCCTGCCCCCTCCCCGGTCATTACTTACTGTTGTAATAAACCCGGTTATCCACATCGTCGTCCACGCCTGGTTTCTTGTATGACGTAATGGCCCCGAAATCGGTAATTTTCAGCACCCAACGACTGTCGATGACGCAGTTACTGGACTTGAGGTTGCCATGGGAACGCAAAGCGCTTTTGTGTATATATTCCATGCCCTGGTGTGAACAAACATAAGAAATAAATTACCAGGTAATGATTTGCACTCCTAGAAGTAAAAGCATGAAGTAGGAGTCAAATTAAAGCTATTGACAATACCACCGCGAGGCTTAGGGTTAGTGGTCGCGTTTCACAACCCCCTAGGTACCTAAATTAATTAAACTGGTCGGCTCAATCCCAACTTCTTGCGGGTTTTGGATGATAGTACGAAAGTCTCACAATGGATTGAGATTAAGGTATACGTGAGAGATGAGAGAGAGAGAGCCCACCTCCATCGAGAGACAGCACGAGAGAGGAAAGAGAAAAGAAGAGGAGAGAGAGAGAGAGAGAGAGAGAGAGAGAGAGAGAGAGAGAGAGAGAGAGAGAGAGAGAGAAAGAGAGAGAGAGAGAAGAAGAGAAAATAAAAGAGAAAGGGAAAGAGAATGAGAGCCAGTACCACGATTCTTCTTCTTGGCGTGCAACTGCTATCTTTCTTTCTTTTACCCCACCAGGACGTCACACAAGCGATAAACACCCGATGACACAAAGTGCCACCATGGGGATGAGGATCACCCATGGAGAGGTCCTAGAAACCGCGTTCAGCCATTAGACCATATTTATGGCCGGGCTATATTGCGGCCTCTGGCAAGAGCCAGAGTAGGGCTTCAAATAACAAAAAATTGCATCCCAAAATAAGATGATAACGCGATGGTTCAACAGCTGTCAACTTCTGGCTTAAAATTTTACGCACACTGCTGGTTTATCGCCTCTCCGACTTCGAAATCAACCCCCTCCCCTCCAAATAAGTTGTAAATCTTTTACGACATGTTTGTTTTAGGGCAGTGGGTCTACCGCCCCTCCCCTTTTTTTTGTCCCTGGAACCCACACGGGAAAACAGGATTCGATCTAGCTGCTTGATAAGGCGCGCTCAGTGAATTTAGAAGCACTGTACTTGAACATATGCCATGATTAGATTCCACAGATATAATTAGCCAAACATTTGCACTGTAACCTACCGTACATGTCGTAAGGGGCGAACTGATTTTGGGGCGGTCACCTCAACCCAGGGTCTGATTAAAACCCTTAGAGACCCTAAGCGTTTACAAGATGTTGGTGCACTCATTAGTGTAATGCAACAAATAAACAATTCAAAATCATAACAGAACATTTTATTTATTGAAATTCAATAAAGCTTACAGTAAGATAGAAATAATGTTTACATTTGTGTGCAAGTCTTAGACAAGAACGACAACATGAGCTGCCGTGGACCGTGCAACAGTTACCAGGTTCCAGTTTGTTGTATTCCAAAGGTTATAGGAAATTTCCAAGACTTTGGAAAATGTCTGTAGTGCCCTGTTCGCTTAATGCCCTAAACGTATGCTTATTTTTCTTAACGGTTAATCCACTCCTACCTCCACCAGGCAACTTTAGCTACAAAATGCAAGCGTTCCTGGACAAGTCAACAAAAGTAATGGCTTAGGTTGGTTGAGGTCCAATGCTAGACTGGGAGACACAAGATGGACGAAGAATAGCAGACACCTGTGGAATACAGATACAGTTCTTCATCTCTTGCTTTCGTGTTCCTACTCAAACCTTCGAGACATCACATCCCGACTGCACACCTGACTTGGAAAACTGAGAACTTTTGAGTGTGTACGGAGTATGGCGCCATACATTGTGTCAACAGTACACAGCAACAAGTCGGCTCTGTGGCTAAGTCGATGCGAACGCTTCGTAATGCCGGGTTCGATCCCAGTTGCGGGCCATTCGCCTTGCGTTGGTTTCGACAGTGGTATCAGGGGGCCGACCGTCCAGAGCAGCGGCAAACTACTAGACGTAAATTTGCCTAGAGAAACCACACAACAGCCAGGGGCTGCTGGGGTTGGTTCTACAACGTCCTATAAAAGATACGCAACTAACTAACACAGCAACAAACACAAAATAATAACACCATGGCAAAGTAATATAATAAAAAAAAAACCATAGCCAGATACCAATGTGAACAATACAACATTTGAGAACAATAACAAAAAACCATAGCCAGATACCAATGTGAACAATACAACATTTGAGAACAATAACAAAAAACCATAGCCAGATACCAATGTGAACAATACAACATTTGAGAACAATAAAAAAAACCATAGCCAGATACCAATGTGAAAAATACAACATTTGAGAACAATAAAAAAACCATAGCCAGATACCAATGTGAACAATACAACATTTGAGAACAATAAAAAAAAACCATAGCCAGATACCAATGTGAACAATACAACATTTGAGAACAATAAAAAAACCATAGCCAGATACCAATGTGAACAATACAACATTTGAGAACAATAAAAAAACCATAGCCAGATACCAATGTGAACAATACAACATTTGAGAACAATAAAAAAAACCATAGCCAGATACCAATGTGAACAATACAACATTTGAGAACAATAAAAAAACCATAGCCAGATACCAATGTGAACAATACAACATTTGAGAACAATAAAAAAAACCATAGCCAGATACCAATGTGAACAATACAACATTTGAGAACAATAAAAAAAACCATAGCCAGATACCAATGTGAACAATACAACATTTGAGAACAATAAAAAAACATAGCCAGATACCAATGTGAACAATACAACATTTGAGAACAATAAAAAATGCAATTTTTCTAAGACAAAACAACAACAAAAGCACCGAAGAGTTACCCGGGCGAGGTCGAGAGCGAAGGAAAGCTTGAACATCCAATCCAGCTTGATGTCATCGTTCTCGAGGACGTCTTGCAGGCTGCCCTTGGAGCAGTAACGGAACAACACGTAGCTACAGCCAGGCGTTGGGGAGACATAGGCGCCCACGAACTGGTTAATGTTGTCGTGGGATAAATCCTTCACCTGAGCACAGTAACGATAGACTGCAGTTAAAGCATAGCCTGAAGGGATTTCTTCTCAGCCGCAGCATTCTTCCTAACCCTCATAGGAGAACTGGCTATAAATGTGCAGTTTTAAACGACAACATAATCCTTTTCGGCATACGACAGAAGACTTTAAGCAAGTTGGTGAAACTTTTACAGGTGTCTTAATTATAACTTCTTTGGAGGCTGAACAGGGTATCTGGGATTTGCGATGTTGTCTGCCATCCAGATTAAGATGTTTAATCTCAGAGTGTGGAGATCCATTGCAGCCTACCTTGGCTGTGGAGACGAAATCTGAATGATTTAAACACACGTCACACACACACACACACACACAGACACATCACATACACATCACACACATCACACACACACATCACACACACAAACATCAC